CCTGAGGTTGGGAGTTCAAGACCAGCCTAACAAACATGGTGAAACCTCGTCTTATTAAAAAAAACAAAACAAAAACCAAAAAACAAAATAACAACAACAAAACCACTGAAACTATAAGCCAATGTGCATTGACTGAAATTTTAAAAAATAAAAATATACATAAAGAAAACTATTTATTTTTGTTCATACAAATGTTTTATGGATTTTGTAATTTTTATAAAAGGCAGAATCTTGCTATGTTGCACAGGCTGGAGTGCTACAGTGCTACAGAACAATCATTACACACTGAAGCCTTGAACTCCTGGGCTCAAGTGATCTGTCTGCCCTCAGCCTCAGCTGTAGCTGGGATTACAGGTGTGTGCCACTGGGCCCAGCTTTTATAATTTTCCACCAGTTGAAAAATGGACAAATACCTTAATCTGAGTTAAGCATAGTTGAACTCCAGATTTTTTTCTTTACCAATTCTATAATTGACACAGCTTGTCATTGTTGGATCCATTTTGAAATCCCCAGAAATAGACTTACTCTGGTGAAACTGTTGTAGTGGAGCGAGCATTAAGTCAACACCAAGACAAAAGCATGTCAGATTGCAGGGTCTCTATTGCCGGCGGCCACGGAGGACTCACGTCTCTCCAACCCGTGGCCCCAAAGGGAGGGTGTCAAGACCTTTTATACCTGTACCACCACCTCTGGAATGAGGGTGAGGGGTGGGTGTGGGGATGAGGGGCTTCAGACATTCCGAGGTCTAGTAGATTCTGTAAATCACCTCCTGGGCAGAGATGAGGGTGAGGGGCTCCGGACATTCCGAGGGCCAGGGGACTTTTGACATTCTGATTGTTACTTAAGCGGTTCACAAAAGTCAAGATAAGCATTTGTTTACACATTGTCTGCGTAGGGTGGAAATTACAAGTCACAGGGGCCAAGATGGCATGGGTTTGGACTGCTTGCCTGTCACATTTGGGTTACAGAGAGCAGTTTCAACGGAAAGCCGTGGTATGGTTGAGGTATGCAGTTTTATAGGGCTTTTACCATGTCACAAAACCACATGGTTGAACTAAAAGGTTCCTGTTACCGGTCCAGGGAAGATGTCCTTTATATAGAATTTGGTGTAGAAAGAATAGAATTGATTCTGTTTGGTCACATTTGCTACTGAAGGACTCTAGATATCACTGCCATCTTAGTCATCAAGTTATGGCTTGGTAGAGAGATATAACTGAGCTTTACTTTAAAAATTCAGATATTTGTTTATTTCAGAATTACTGTACAATTGCATAGCAATAGAAACATTTTACAAAAATGGAGATTAAAATGCTGTAAGAGCAATAGCAATTACAGGTGTACTCACAAAACTTTAACTTAAAGAATAGAGATTAATCAAGTGTTGCAGGTTTATACAACGTATTAAACGTATTCACATTGGATCTTTTTAAATAATAAACATCCACGTGTGGTTAGTGTGTGGATACCAATCAATCACATATGATGAGGGGTAGAAAACCTGAGATTGATTTGAAAGATTGATTGAAAGCAGGATTGGCCTCGAGAAACAGATCTCTTGAACACCAAACTGCGAAGGAAGAGGTGTTTATTATTATTATTATTACGGCCGGAGCCAGGCGACAATGTGTCTAAATGACCACACTCTCCTAACAAAGAGAAGCTCTGCCTTTATATAGGCTGATACTCTAGATATTACACATAAAAGAATCTTAGGTTTACAGCCTTAGCAATTACAAGTCAAAGGATCTTGGGTTTACAGCTTTAGAAATCACATATGAAAGGGTCTTGGGTTTACAGTTTTAGAACGCACCTATGAAAGGGTCTTGGTCAATGGAGGAGTGGGATGGGGTTTTGATCTTGTTTAAGTAAAAGCAATGTCTTCTGGAGATTCCCCCACACCATGCCTGCTATTTACAGGAACGTGATTTAGGAGGCCAGTTGGCCATCCTTTTATTTGAATGAAATGCAGTGTGGAGGTAAAGGGGAAGGTGATCCTAGATGCCTGGGTCTCCTTGTCATGATGATGCAGAAAAACTTTAAAAGTGACCCCAGGCACACTAAACCCTTTTGAACCCCAGGCAAACATAAAATCTATTAATAAGACAACGCACATCAAAGTATACCTTTGTTAAAATCTAACTTAATTGTAGCTTTTAAAGAAATTTAAAATGTGTCAGTTTGGTTACATTTACTGAATAAAGTTAACAAACGGGTAATCTCCTATGAATGAGAGCTCCAGGGGTTTAAAAATAACTAAAATTTCTGTCTCCCCTCATCATTAACAGAGATAATTATTACCTTTGCTTACGATACACAACACAATTAAACAACTGAGTATTTCACCAAATAACATACCAGAATTATATCAGAAACCTAAACACCAAAGGAAAAAAGATAATATAACTAACCCTCAACAAGAGGCTCTCCATGCTTTCATGTGAAGATCTGCTTCTTCTTTGAATATGTCTTCTGTTGAGAGCTTCACTGTCATTAAGACTTCCAACAAAAGGTGACTCCGGGACTGGCCTTGTAGGAGAAGCAGTGGCTGGATATCTGTTCTCTTTCTTCACAGTAAGCTGGGTACTGGCCTCTACTATCCTCTCACTGGTTCTATGAAGATTGCAAAAGACAAACGCTTAGTATTTCGTTTTTTCCTAAATGATTCCTAAATGATTTCAAGTGTTCTAAAAGTTGCCATAAGAGTAGATGCAATATACTATAAGCCATATTTTAACTCTGAAAATGTGTTAGGGTACACCTACTGTATCCAATTACAGTTTTAACATTGTTCTAAAGAAGTACATATATTTCCAGGGGGAACAACTACTTGTTTGTTGGAAATCCCCTTAGAAATCATGTTGTACTCCTTAAATATATACAATAAGTCATGTTGTACTCTTTAAATACATACAATTAAAAAGCTAAAAGAAAAAAATAAAAGCTAGAAATACTTGTATTTAGTAAACTAGAGATTTTTTAAAAACTATCAGTCAAAGGCATTTTCAAACAATTGTTTTTACCGCCCTTGTACATTTCACCCATTATCTGGAAAAAATTGAGCATTTGGCATTGAGGAATCATTCAAGGAGACTTTTCCTAGGGGAGAACAAGACAGCTGAGATCAAAGAGAGCTAAAGCAGCACCTAAGACAATCACCTCCTAACACTGTGGCCCATGCATCAGAGGTGGGGCCTGCCCTTTCTGTCTTCCACACACCCCCTCAGGCTGAC